CCAAGTTAATTTTTACAACGTCAAAGTTAATCTTGACAAAGTCAATATTTCCCTATATATACAGCAAGGAGCACTGATGATGATTCATTCGGAATTGAAATATGGCCTTATTTGCAGCATGAATTCGAAAAATAAGTTTATTTTGAATTTTAATAAACTAAACGTTCACCAAAAAACTTTAGTGAAAAATCGAAAAAATCGAAAAAACGAACTACAAACATATTAACGCCAAACATTCAGTAGAATTTATAGAATATTGTAAATATATATATATATATATATATATATATATATATATATTTGTGTGTGTGTGTGTATGTGTGAGTGTGTGTGTGTGTGTGTATCTGTGAGTGTGTGTGTCTGTGTCTATGTATTTACTTATTATTTTATTTTATAAGAAACTAAAAGAAATAGAAATGAAAGAATTGATTCAAGTCTTAAAAAAAAGAATTTAAAGAGAGCCGGAAATGAAAATGTTAAGGAAATATGAATGGAGGGGAGTATGTAGAGCCATTAGTATTGCTACTGCTGCTACTGCCACTACTACTACTACTAAAACTACTACAACTACTACCACTGCTACTACTACTACTGCCACTACTACCACCACAAATACTACTACTTCTTACTACAACTACTGCTACTACTTTTACTATTGCTGCTGTGGTAACTACTACTACTGCTGCTGCTACTACAACTGCTACTGCTACTACTACTGCTGCTGTAGCTACTACTGGTACTACTAGCAACAACTGCTTCTACTTTTGCTTTTACTATTTTTACTTGAAAATTTTTCAACAAAGCGCATTATTCATTCTCAAATTGTATTATTACTGCTGCTACTACTCTTACTGCTACTACTACTATTACTACTACTACTGCCAACAGTTCAATGTTGCTACTACTACTAATAATACTGCTGCCACTGCCGCTACTTCTTCCGCCACTACCTCTATTTTTACTGCTATTGCTGCCACTATTTTTTCTAGTACTACGACTGATACGGATTCTAGAAGTAGCTAGAGCGAGTGTTAAACAAACAAACGAACGAACGAACAGACAAACAAACAAGCAAATGAACGAACAAGCAAACATACAAAAAGAAAACAATCATACAAATACTCATTAAGAAGACAAACATACAGGCAAAAAGACAGACATAGATGGCGTGCCAAACAATAAACCAGACTACATACCGGTAGAACGACGAACAAATAACAAGACAGACGTTTGAACAGACATCCAACCATATAGGCATACAAACAGACACACACTTGCCATAAAAGATAGAAAAAACTAGACAAACATTCTTACAGACATTCGGATACAAAGATAAAGATTTAGACATACAAACAAAATGACAAACAAAGGAACAGACACACATAAAGAAAAAGAATAAAACGCGCTGGAAAACGTAAATACAGACACACATCTAGACGCATAAACAATTAGACAGACAGAAAGACAGTCAGAGAGAAACTGACAGACTGGTGAAATGGCGGGTATGTCTCTAGAGGAACAACAGTTTTTCCAAGCGAGCAAATTAGAAAGAATGATGCAATTTTTTGTATACGTTTGTTTATTTGTATGTATGCAAGTATATATATATATATATATATATATATATGTATGTATGTATTATTATTATTATTATTATTATTATTATTGAAACATTTATGAAGCGCTAATAAAACGAATCTCATAAGCGCTATCTAACTAAAACTGAACTTAGCAAAATAATTGAGATAACAAACGAGGAGTCATAATGCCTCGCACAGAAATAAGATTAAAATTTGGTCATAAACAGAAAAGTAATCGATTCAATATAACGAAAATATGAAATAATATTTAGAACATGTCGACTAAACAGAAAGAATCGATCAGTAATGCATTACAATGAAAATAAATGATTTTTCAGTTTCTTCTTGGAATCACGCAGGTTTAGGTCCGGATTTCTGAGAGCAGCAGACAGGTTGTTTTAAACAGTTGGTCCAGAAACAGCAATGTTACGAGAGCCTATACGGAGACTCGTTGTTGGGATCGGCAGCAGGTTTGAAACATCGGATCTCAAGTGTGTTCCAGATGCTTTTGAAGATCTCTTTTTAAACCTGTCAGACAAATAAGATGGAGCTAGACCGTTGATAGACTTGTAGACAAGTGTTGAAATTTTGAACAACACTTTTTGTCGACGGTTAGTCAATGAAGTTTTTTCAATATTGGAGACACATGATCGTATTTTAGAGCTCCAACAACAACTTTTGCGGCTCGATTCTGTATTGTATGTATGTATGTATGTATGTGTGTGTGTGTGTGTATGTATGTATGTATGTATGTATGTATGTATGTATGTATGTATGTACAATGTATGTACAATGTATGTATATGTGTATGTATATATGTATGTATGCATATTATTGTGTAGATGATAATTTAGTTTAGGAGGTAAAAGCAAATATAGGCTGTATATAAATGTGTGTTAAAGTAGGTATGTACTTATAATGATAGTCAAGTTACAAAAGTAGCTCACGACAAGACAGCAAATTGACAGACATAAAGCAGCTTAATATAAGACAATATAATGTATAATTTATCAGGGCATATGATACTTTGTATAATAAGAATGAGGTTACATACAAAAGGGGCTGACTGGTTGGAAGGAGTTTGACAACTAGTTAACAACTAGTTTGACAACTATCTTGGTACATAATAGGCGAGCACAAGAGTTAAGTTGAGAGTTAAGTTAGAGTTATCTCTTTAATACGCTTAAAGCTCTTGAACACTACTCATACACTGTCACACTCTTTGTATTTTATATTTAAATTCTCGGTTTTAAGCTTTGCTTTTTTACTTCATTAAAATATATTTAGTTGCAATCAAACAATAAAAAATTATTATTAGCAATAATGGCTGAGTCGTTTTTCGTCCGATTTCCGTTAATTAATTAAACTTTATAACATTTTAAACACTAATTAACACTCAACAACACACCTAAATCGCTGATTGAAGTCGTCTCATTATTTTATGTACATGAACAATATCGAGTTATTTAACGTTGAGCGAGCGAGTTAACAGAGACAGGAAGACATTCTCCAAGAACAGACAGACTTTGTTGCTCCTTGGGTAACCATTGTAGAATGGTGAAGAACGAGCGGTGTAACAATGTGCTAAAAGCTACTTAACCCTTAAACACCGAAGAAAAAAAAAAGTTGAAGTCGTTATGGGTCGAATCAACCCACGGTACATAAAAATCGTTTTTTTGCCACAAAAAATTAATAAAAGTATTCTTAATTACAGACAAATTGAATTTAGCTATAACTTTAAATAATAAGTTATTAAACATTAAAAAAATTACTTTTAAAACGTTAAAGATTTAAATACTTAAATTTCCTTTTCGCGGCAGGATATGTTAATACACTGATACACTCTTTGTATTTTATATTGTCTTTTGTGTTGAAACTATTCATTTGCTATTTTTGCACCAATTAGCATTGGTTGAGTATGTCTGGATTGAGCGTTTGAAAATTTCTCTACTCGTTCAATTATGAATGGATGGATGATGACAGTGAAGAAGAAGAAGATGATGATGATAACAACAACAATAATAATAATAATGATAATAATGACAATGATGATGATACTGTTGACAAAAAGGATGATGATGATGATTTCTATGGCGGTGTTGGTGATGATTCTGATTAGGAGAACAGTGATGATGACGAAGAAAAAGATGATGATGATTTTGATGATGATGATGATGACGACGATTGTGAAGATAATCCAAACACTGTTGGAAGGCATGCATCATTAAAGATTGCATTGAATGACTCCATATCTTTTGTATGCATGCGTACGTGTGTGTGTGTGTGTGTGCGTGTGTGTGTGAATGTGTG